ACAAGAGTCCTCTTCGGCCCGGGTAAATCCTTTACTCCTTCACCCCTCACCTACTCTTCGGCCTGAAGCAGTGGGGGACTACACCGGCCTTTGCAAACCAGGACAAAATCAGAAAAATCCAAAAAAAATCTAAGTCCACAACTACAACATCAGACATGCACCACAACGTCCATAACATCGTGATGCACCATCGGCCACAGCAAAGCTAGCGAACAAAGAATTCCCTCCAAAAGCGCAACACTTGAGATCACAGGGCACTTATCAGCTTTGAGACCAGGACACGCACCACTCCTCCCGGATCAGTGCCGTTATCGTCCTCAAAAGCATGAATGCCAGACTACAGACAACACCGCTTCGGCCAAAATCACAGAACATGGCCAACGGCTAAGAAGCAAACCGCACCCTCACCGGCCACCCGGGAACAAAAGAACATTCATCATCCTCGAACAAGAGACAACCACAAGGGCCTCCTCGACCCCAAAGAGCGAAGATCAGCCATCAACTGTCACGAGTGGGCACGACCTTCATCGGCCATTCATGACGAAGAGCGCTCATCGTTCCCACCAAGCAAGGACGCTCATCGTCCAACCAAAAGGTAGCCCCAATGGCCTCCTCGGCCAACAATACGAACTTTAAACAACGGTCAGAAGGAGTGAACAGCACCCGTAACGGACACTCAAGATGAGGGGCGCTCATCGTCTTCAAGTAAGACACATCCGCAGTGGCCTCCTCGACCCAAAAACAAAATCCAGCCACCAAAGGTCGTGAGAAGGAAAGAATGTCTCCATCGGCCACTCATGACAGGAACGCTCATCGTCCATATCAAGGGGAAGGTAACGGCCAAATCCAAAACAGGGCCACCAACGCCACGACAGAAAACGGCCAGGGTGGTCCCACGTCGGCCAAGAGCATCAAGCACAAAAATCTACTCTCCTTCACTTCGTCTACACCTCAGCTTAGAGAGTGGGGGACTCCTGATGGAGTATATGGGCCTGGACCCCACGGCCCACATACTCGGAAGGACAAAAGGTACCACGATCACCTGGTGGGACCCTCGTCGGCCAGATGACCTCCATTGGCCAGGAAACAGTCTAACTCAGAATGCGGTCCAGAAGCCAGGAGAACCGGGTGACCTCGTCGGCCGGGTCCTCGTCGGCCGTGCCCTCGTTGGCCCTGCCCTCATCGGCCACGAGCGGCCCCCAGAATAGGATTTTACACTTAATCATTTCTACACACATTGTATTCGGTCCAATAGCGGTCCAGTTGTAAATGGGCCTCCCAAGCCCAGGACTTGGGAGCCCAGCCCGTATTTTCCCTATAAATACTACCTCTGGGAGTAGTTGTAGGGGTTACAAAATCATTCTATTGAAGCATTTACTTGCACTTCTCTCTCTAGCTCTCATTTCTCTTTAGATATATACTCTATCATACACATATTATATCTACTTATATTTATTTATTATCTACTTATTATCTACTTAACATATACTCCATCCGGTTCCAAAAGATCTTGACACTTTGACTTCACAGTTTTTAAGAAAATAAACACTGTTTGGCACTGTTTGGCACTATTTTGTGTAGATTTATTTTCCAAATAAGGCAAATAAGGAAGTGTAAAGATCTTTCTGGTACTGCTAAAAATGGATAGTGTAAAGATCTTTCGGAACCGGAGGGAGTACTTATTATATTTACTTACAATTACATATATCTAATTAATATATTAAGTATATATATATTAAAGTATTAAATATTTTAGGATTGTTTAGTACGGAGTATTTGTTACATTTTAAGATGGAACGTGGTAGACATTGTGTAGATATGGGTAACCTCCAACGTAAAGGTAAAGGACATGTCAGGTGATCAGGTCTTCTTCTCAAAGCCGAGATGATTTTGACACAAATTATGACCGGAGAGATGCGTTTTACGAGGAAACTCCCAAAGAGGTACAAGGGCATCAGCAAACATCCGACAAGGAAACACACGGCGACGACGGAAACGATAAGAAAAATCAATCTCTCCTTATGAAAAACAATTACACAAAATGGAAGGAAACGACAAGTAGAATGTGGTGGGCAACTTGCTACCATTATAACGAGAAATTTTGCTCGGGATTTTCACATGGATACGGACGGGCGCATAGGCATTTGAAGGCAAAACACCCCGAGGAGTATGAAAAATTAAAAGCCAAAGGGATGCGAAGTATGTTTTCTAGCTTTTTTAAAATAGGCTATTAACTATATTATCAATTGTACTTCATATTTCAATATATTTCATGTTTTAATTTTTTCCCGGTTGATATTATTTATTAGAAAATGTATTTCATGTTTTAATTTTTTCTCAATTCTCAATTGTACTTCATATTTCAAATAAATATACTTTAACTTTTTTATATTTAGCAATTCTTGAATTAATTTGTAGACAACATAAAAAAACCGGACTGCCCCGACCCGACCCGGTACCCGGCCGGGTACACCGGCCTGATCCGGATCCAGTAGCTATCTGGGCCGGTTCTGGGACTAAATTAAAAAAAAAAAGACTCGATCGGGCCAGGTCCATCCCTACTTAGAATGAGGTCAGTTTTGATCATTTTTTATTCAATTCGTTTTGTGATGGAATGATCTTTAGTATGGACAAATTTATTAATTACTCGACCAGATTTGTGATTGAATAAAATTACAGTATTAAAAGCGGATACAAAAAAAAATCTGAAATTATATCTGGAATTTTTCTCCAAGTGAAGATTAAAAGTTATTTAATGATCATTAAAGGATATGGAATGGAGCAAATGTATATTTTTGATAGTGCAGAGGTGTGAGTGATAATACAAATGGAGTCAATTATAATTTCACAATTTCAATATATATACTCCTCATAATTAAAAATATGGGTATTAGGCCTAAATAGGACTAAAAGTAGTCTAAAATTCTACATTAGGATTATACTTCTTTTATTTTCAAAATAAGAGTAATATATGTTTCTTCTTCTTATTCTACCCCCAAACCTACAATTTGTAATAGATTTATTTGTTAATAAGAAAAATCATAGTTTCATTAATAATAAAAATATAAAAAATCATAAAAAATCTATAACTTAATAAAAAAAACCGGGAAAAAATAAAATAAAATTAAAAAAATTATCAAAAAAATTAAAATAAAAAAATATTTAAAATTCTTTTAAAACATCTAAAATATATAAAAAAATACCGAAAAATATTAAAAAATATGTAGGTCACTACCTCCGCATCCCTCACCCCTAGCACCACCACCTTCGATCGCCGGAAAAAAATGCCATCTTGTGTAAAGAATGCCACATTTCTATGAAAATGCCGTTAAAATGATACTCCCTCCGTCCCTAAATGTTTGTCACACTTTGATTTCACAAGTTTTAAGGAGATGAATTTGACTTTGCACTGTAGCAACACTGTTTCACACTGTAGCGGCACTGTTTGGCACTGTTTTGCACTGTTTGACACTGTTTGGTATAGATTTGTTTACCAAATAAGGAAGTTTAAAAAGTATGACAAACATTTTGGGACATCCGTTTCGGGAAAGTGTGACAAACATTTAGGGACGGAGGGAGTATTTTACTCTATGAAAATATTCAGCTTTCTATTCAAAATTGACATCACAATGACATTTTCCCCCAACTTGACAATCTTTTCCGATGACCGAAGGTGGCGGTGCTGAAAGGTGGCTGAGGTGGTGGTTGAGGTCAGTATATATATATTATTTTTTTATTTTTATTTTTTTTATGTTATATAATGATTATTTAAAAAATCCTATTAAAAAAACAAGAGAAAAAGCATAATAGAAAGGGTATGTTTGGCACAACTAGCTGAAAAGATACTTTTATGAGTTTTTAGTAACTGTTAGCCAGGGGCGGACCCACCCTAGGGCTAGGGGGTGCCCGTGCCCCTGCGGTGATTTATATATATATATATATATATATATATATATATATATATATATATATATATATATATATATATTGGAAAATTCTTAGGTCGAGCACCTCTCGGTCCGAACGCCATCCGAACACCGCCAACCGCCGTTTGGGGCGGTTCCAGGTGTATTGTTTTGATGAAATTTTTTGAGCATGTTCCTCATCAAGTCTAGTTTATCCATATCAAATTTCAGGTCAAAATTCGACCGGGAAGGCAGTCAAATAATTCGTTGAAGTTAACTGCGTTTTTCTATGTTTAATTTGGCGCAGTTAACTTCAACGAATTAGTTGGATGCCTTCTCGATCGAATTTTGAGCTGAGGTTTGGTATGAATAAACTAGACTTGATGAGGAACATGCTCAAAAATATTCATCAAAATATTCCGCCGGGAACCGCCCCAAACGCCGGTGTTCGGACGGCGTTCAGACAGAAAAGTGCTGGACAGAAAAGTTATGCCGATTGAGACTTATGATGTTAATATTAGAGATGAGTTGAGGAGACGTTATTTGAGAAAAGGTCCTTGCCAACTGCGTGACTTTAAATTTCCACAAAGTGATTTTAATGGGTGCAATAGATCATTCCAAAAACAGTGGTTTTATTTAAATTTTATAGTTTTGTTTATTGCTATACTCGTGATGCATATGATTTTTTTCTAGACTAGTATATCATTTCTTTGTTATTGTGCCCCTGCGAGTCACGAGTCCTGGTTCCGCCTTTTAGTGACTGAAAAGATCTTAAAAAGAAAATGCAATAGCCATTTGGTAAAAAGCTGACTGTTTGATTTAGCTCTGTTTGATATACAAGCTGTTAGGACTAATTAATGCTAGAAGCTACGAACTTATCTGCGATGCTACTCACTGTAACATCTCAAAAAAAGATCTTTTATTTTTATAAAAACTCTTAAAAATTGACGTAACAAACGTACGACTAAAAGCTTTTAAAAACTTTTTAAATAGTATAAAAAGTTTCTTTAAAATCTCCTAATTCCTCGTCATCATTACCTAGTGTGAATTAAGTAGATTTTTTCACGTGAATGTTGAAATATTCCGCGGGTAGTCAAAAAAGTTGTCATAAAACAGCAAATCAAACCCTGTCAGTGTAATCATCTTTACTGAAAATCGTGCATCCTCCCCCTCCCCTCCTCCTTCCCCTTCTCTCCTATGCAAAGACCCTGTCTTTTTTAGCTTTCTGTTCTCGTGCACCATCGTGGAGCTGCAGTCTTTAGCTGAGCTCACCAATCAAGGGAAATGAATCATGTTTTTTGTTTATTTTGGATAAAGAAGAAAAGAGTGTTTCCTTGATGGTTGTTTAGTCTCTTGCATTTCTATGGCTCATCCTAACAGCAACGCGAAGTCCAAACTTTCTGCTAATGCTGCTGAAGAACTGAAGGGCAACACTATCTACCATGATTTCCTGGGCAAAGGGTGCGCCACAGATTTTTCTCCGCCCGCCTCCTCCTCCGTGAGGCCGCCCTTTTTGGAGCCATACCAGGTGGCTTCTTGCGCCTCTCTTGGCGTCTTCTCTGGCGGCGGTTGTGGCCCTGTTTCCACCGCTTCAGATATGTGTTCTGGTTAGCACGGCCTGCTAGAATCTTTAAATATTTTAATTATGGGGTATGGGGAACATGAATGAGATTACTTTGCACAAAGATTAATGAATTCCTAAGGTTTCTGCACTGAGGTGTTTTTTATTAGCATAAATGTTTTTGAATTTATAAGATGATTATAACTGTATGGTTTTAGTTTGTAATGTCAATTGTTTCGGGGAGTGGTTGTATGGTAGGCAGTGTTCACTAGACATCCTTTGAAGGGCTCGCTAGCTAATTGCTAGGGCATTATGTCCACAATAATTGGGGTTGGGGATTAGTCGAGATTTGGTGGGCTTAGGACCATGGTTTTAAATTGGGGTCGCGGTCTCTCCTATTGCTATTGCTGTGATGCTTATCGGGGCAGATGCGGTGTGAATGAATTTTACCTTGAAAGAAAAAAGAAAAAAATTAATTGTGTTGCGGCCCGGATGCAACCCGGATGCTGTTACGTTGTGGTTGCTTCGCGGTTACGTTGCTGTTTTGGCCGTGAATTAAAAAACACCGCAATTGCGGGGTGATGCGGTTGCGCCACGGGTAGAGTGAGCAAATGGTTTTCTTTATGTGCTACATTATGATTCAAGTTTAGGTAATAGCACTGTTCCAGAATGCACAGGTGGATTTTTAAAACAAAAAGGGTAGAAGATCGTGAGTTCGTGACAGCTTTTCCTGTTTCTGTTTTGAGATTCTAGCCTTGTGTGGCTAATTTTACAGGACCACAGTCAAGTTATGCTGCTTTCTCGGGAAGTAAGAGGTGCAGTTCAGATTCTAGTATGGTGTCTTGTAAAGATAGATTTCCCACCATTCAACCCGATTCACTTGCGTCCTCACATGTGATGAAGGTGTGTTTTTTCTTTCGTATTTTTCTTCTTCTTGCCCCCGGTAAAACAGTTCAATCACAGTAGCATTTGCTGATTTGCTGTTAATGAAGACTACCTGTATTTTACACATACACTCGATTCGGGCCTTCTGTTCATACTTCAAAGTTCTACTTTTTGTTCAATCTCTATCTCCTTGTGGTCCAAGTAGGTTAACCTTGGACGTATCTGTTTGTACTGCCCAGCGGTATACACAATTTTACATGTCATTACGGGCTGTTTGGTTTCTGAAATTGAAGTTGATATTGATAAAGTCTGTGACATTTCTGAATTATGGAATATAAACACACACACACGCACACGCACACACACACATATATCAACTATATGTTATTGATACAGTAAAGAAAAAGTATCTCAAAAAAAGGAAAGATACAGGTGAGCTTTTTTGAATAATTCTTCTTGTTAAAAAAATCTAAGCCTGAAAAAGTGGTTACCAAATTGCTACTTACTTTGATACGCGGGAGTTTTGTTGAAGTTCAGCTACTGCGGAGTGGTGCAGGAGGGGAGAAGTGTAGGGCATCATCACACAATGAAGAACTGTCTCTCAGAGGGCACAATCCAATGCGGCCGTTTTCATCATCTCCCTCCATGGGCGCTACTAGAACTTATTCTACTACTTCTACTTCTAAATGGGTCCCACTCAATCCCCTTACTGCTTTGAAATACCCTCCACACACCACCCAAGTTGTGCCTTTCGGGTACCAAACACCGCCCAACAGGTTTAGTAGGGACACCAATACTGCCAGTCGTTTGCTTATATCTCAAGCAGCTGCTGATGAAGGTTCAAGAACAGGACTCAAAGGGTCGGGAGTGTTTAGAATGTCAGATAGGACACTCTCTGAGGTCCCACTAAGTGTGTCTAAACAGAACTCTGGGATTCAAACCTCTGATCCTGCTGAATCTCCCAATCCTGGGTAATTTTACCAAGATATTTATCAATAAAAGAATGTGAAGCAGTGGATAAAATGACAATTCTTCCCTTACATTTGTTTGATGAAGGCAGGTACGGAGTGGGACCTACTGGTCATCAGATGACAATTTTTTACAACGGCCAAGCCCATGTTTTTGATGATGTGCATCCCAGCAAGGTTTGTCTTATGTTTATTTAATATATATTGTTTTTTAATGAACAGAAATGACAAGTTTTGAAACATTCACTTTTAGTTTATACTCTTACACTTCCCAAAAATGGCTTTGTTTGGCTAAGGTACAATTTTTTGGTCTAGCAAGGTACGACTCTTAAGAGAGCTGAAATCAGATTTTTCAATTGGTTCAACTAAATTTATCTTATTTAGCTTGTGTGACATATTTTTGAAAATTGTATGAAAGAATAAGTTTTTTTTTATGAAACATGACTCTTTTATGGGGACATAGAAAGCTTTTTGAAAAGGAATTTTGTTTCTTTTGGTGGCGGAAGGAGTAAGTATCCAAACTAAACATACCTGGTATACCACTCAGAAGTAGGTAGTAGTGGAGTAATAGAATAGTTTAAGACTTCATGGGTTATCATGTAAGTTGTACTATTCTTTCATTATACATAGGACTGAGGACTGCCATGTTAATTATTCTAACATGGTATGAAGAGTATATGCTTTACAACCCTAATTCTAATTTCTTTTCGGAAGCCATGTCAACCTCTACTGTATCTACTGCTGCCATTGCTGCATCATCCTCCATCATGGTTGTGCCACCTTCAACAGCAGTGCCTGCAGCAACATCTGGCGTTCTCTCTGGCACACCTCTCTAAGGGTCACAGCCTCAGACTTCTACACAGGGGTTTTCGTTGTCGTTCGCCGCTGGCTTCAGCAACGACAGCTCTTGGACTCCGCCATCTTCTCCAATCAGTCATTCATTTTTGCCAGACTCAGTTCTCCTCTTCAGTGGCATCAGCACCATAACATGTTAGTTCTCCGGCTACACGACGCCAGCGCCTCTAATCCGGTCCATTGGTTTTTGACCTGCTGGTTTTTCTCCGTTTTAACTTTCTTTGGCAGCCCTCTTGTAGTCCATGGTCTTTACTGCACCAAATTTGGTCTTTTGTCATTACAGTAAATTTGGTTTCTGAGTTTGGTTCCTGGAGGCATTACTTGTCACACGGGAGCAGCGTATTATATATATATATATATATATATATATATATATATATATATATATATATATATATATATATATGAGTTCAAGATCAGGATTTCGGGTCCCATGTTTTTGTCACACTCTAAGACAATGCTTTGTCGTCCAAAGGAGGTCCCGCTTCCTTTAACTATCATGGCAGAGGGGACAGTCTTGGTGAGGTAACTGTGGGAGGGGCGACTGAGGTTGTGGCCGAGGAAATGATGAGCAGCGGCCATCACCCTTCACCTCCAACAGCTCATATGGATGTCATCCGCAGCCTCTTCTTACCTAGGACGGTCAACATGGAGGAGGTGCTCAAAGTAGTCCTAACTATGGTAACCCAGGTACGACCTTATTAGTCTGTTGCGTCATCTTTGAATAATGTTTCTCTATCTGCTTCTGTTACTAATCGTGGATCACTGGATTTACATGCTCCTCTTCAATTGGAATGTTTAGTCATGTTCCACACTTACGCCTCCAATTATTTGTCAAATACGTTATACCATAGGTCATTTTTGTAGTCATGTGTCTCTTTCGTTTTGTCCAATCCTCTACTTCTACTCCTGTTTTTCCTACAAATGACCCATATTTTTTTGCAAGTATAATTTAGTCTATACAAAAGTTATGTGCACATAACAACTGTAGTGTAGTTTATCATAAAAACTTTATTGTGGTAGATGACAAAATCACCGGGGAGGTGCTTCTTCAGGCTACCAGTAGAGGCAACCTTTATCCATTTAAATTTTCCACACCATCACTAGTAGCAACCTCTATTGTGTATCTCGTTGTTTGGGAAAATCTCAACATTTACCTTTTTAGAATGTTATCTATAAATAATTGAAATCATTTGATTCATTCGGATGTGTGGTAGTCTCCTGTTTTTCAATTTGGGTTTTGAGTATTATGTTTATTTTAAGAATGATTTTTCTTGCTTCACCAAGATTTAAGTATTGTTTTTCACAAATAATGTCCAGAAGAACCACATTAAAATGGTGTTGCGGAACACAAACACCGACATTTTCTTGAATTAGCTGCTACTTTTACTGGTACCTTCATCATGAATTTTTCGCTCTCTATCATCTTGTGAGAGATATCCCCTCATGAACAATTATTCAAGACTCCACCTGATTTTTTTGTTCTTGTGAGTATCTGCGTGTATTTCCATCATGATAGAACTCACGCAGGTGTGTAATGAATTCAAAGCCATAAAACAATATTCAAGAAACAATAAACTTTCATTAATGGTGAAATGAGTACAGAGAACTCCCAAGAAACGAGATATCACATTTCAATTTCTCCCAGCCCAGCCCAAACTAACTGTCTAACAGCCTACCTTTTATTCCTCCTCTCCCCTTCTATTTATACTACCTGTACAATTATTATTTCTATTATTAGCTTAATAGGCCCAATTCCTATCATATCTCCCCCTTAAACAACCACCTTGTCCTCAAGGTGGGTGATAGGAAACAGCCATGATCTTCAACCTCCTCTTCATCCTGGCGCTTCTACCTTCCCAATATCTCACTGATTTCTGAGCGAGGAGCTTCAGTACTTGATCTTTCCAACTTACAGATGTTTCTGCAGCATAGAATATTTCTCGTGAAGTTGCATTTTCTTCATTAGCCTTTAGGCCTTCAATAGCCACAAATATTTCCTTGCCTTCCTGAGGTGTATCACCTACACCAGTAGCAGAATTTGTGTTGATGCCCTGAACCTCAGCATTCTCATCCTCTTTAATCTGCTCATCAGAAATTATTGAACTAAAAATTGCTTCAACTCCATTTGACAGTTCTCCCATTGAGTTATGATTGACCTCAATGACGTTTTTCAGCGAAACAATGCCATCCTGTGCCGCACTTTGAGTACACCCAACATCATCCCACCAAACAAATCCCATAGAAAGACTCCACCAAAACCTCTCTGCAACTGCACGTTCCCAAGTAGGGAGAACAGAGAGTGGGAGAACACTCAACACAGGCTATCTTCAAAATGGAACAATCTTTGCTAGTGTGATGCAACACAGAAACCGAGCAACAACTTGTGGACGAGAATACAAAGTCAGCTCCTTCATCACCAAGTGCATCAGCCATAATTCTGTGGGTCCATCCTTGCGTGTCAGATGTAGGAAGTTCATTTTCTCTAAAAGAACTCCAATCTTTGCTGCTGTTCTTCAGGCTGGAGAGATCATGAAGCATAGACTCCCAATTAATGTAACAGCATTCTTTGCGTGTTTTCCAAAAATGAACTTCTATGAAAAGAAAAGAATTACCTTTCCTTTTCCTCCATATTCCTCTGACCAGAGTTGTAAGGAAAAGGAAAATACTCTCATACTCTTTGCAAGGCTTTAGCTTCTGCTCCTCTAGACTATCATAGAATCTTATGAGAAGAGATAACTTTGCAGAAATTAAAGCAGAAACTCTCAGGTCAACATTTAGCTGTTGAAGGGGAATGCCCGACCAAAATGAAGCTACAGAAACTATTTCCTCAGTTCCAACCACACCAGATTCATCATCTTTAACTGCTGAATTTATAGAATGTTCAGTTTTGAATTTATCTTCTTCTTCCAAGTGAGATTCAATTGCTCTAAATTACTTGCATCCTCATGAAACCTTGGTAGAACCTCAACTGTCCACTCAGTTGATTGGTTACAAGTATTAATCCCTCTCAGGTAAATACCTCGAGATGTAGGGGTTGACTTCCCAGCCTGGTTTATCTTGACTTGAATGTATTCATCAATTGGAGAGCTACGCTCAATCGACTGCAGCATATTGATTTCCAATTCTGAATTAACGAACTCCTACCTGGAGGGGGTATTACGAGTGAGGAATCGAGTAATTGCTCCAGCTTCAGGTCCAAGGTCAACTGACGATTTCTCCTTGTGTTCATCGTCGGCATAGGTGAGCGTATCTTCCGAGGAAGGTTGTTGCTGATTAACCAACTCCTGCTGTGAATCTGGTGACTCGGATAGAGATTGCGAACTGAGGACTTCTGCTCGCGTCAAAGCCAGAGGACCGGAAGAAGTTGAATCTGCGAAGAAGGCGATGAAGGCGAAGAAACAGAATTAGATTAAATAAATTAGATTCACCAACCACACAGAACCTGCGAACTCAGAGAAACAGCTTGAGACGAAGAAGGCGAATAGTGAGAATCGATTGGTGATTTTGCAGAATTCTTACAGCGTCGCACGGTCCTGGAGTGTCCTCTAGGTCGGCGATTCTGGTGTATCTGCTTGTTGCACCGGTCGACCATCTTCTTCTGTGTCTCAGCAATCGTCCACTTCAGCCTGGTGCTAATCTCAGCCAAATCGCGTTCGACCTTTTCTATTCTCTTCTCCATTTGCAGGTCGACCATCTTTGTTCGGTCGTGTCTCAGCTTTTTATGCGTAGAACTTATTTTCCACTTCAGCGATTGCTTTGGGATTATTGATCAGACTCGATGAGCGAGTGCTCTGATACCACTGATAGAACTCACGCAGGTGTGTAATGAATTCAAAGCCAGAAAACAGTATTCAAGAAACAATCAACTTTCATAAATGGTGAAAAGTTTGCAGAGAATTCCCAAGAAACGAGATATCACATCCCAATTTCTCCCAGCCCAAAACTAACTGTTTAACAGCTTACCTTTTATTCCTCCCCTCCCCTTCTATATATACTACCTGTACAATTATTATTATTTCTATTGTTAGCCTAATAGGCGTGATTCCTATCACATCATTTCCAATGGAGCCAAACAATCACTATTCTTTGGCTTGGAATAAGATTGAATAAAGCAAAATGACTTCACTATTTTGTTATGAAGCAGTGGTCAGTCCATGCAATTTTCAATGCGGTTTTTATCATGGGTGTCGCAGTGCTTTAGTACGGTGAGAAGGCTGCGTACATCCGACCCCCCATACCTCACCGTAGATGAGAGCATTTGCCACACTAGAAGCTCATCGAGAGAGGGGTTAGCACTGTCGTGGCAGACCGCCATGTGAGAGACAACTGAAACGTCGATATCGCGAACCTGCCATGCCACCGGCTTGCCATTCCAGATGAACTGCATGGATAGTTTCGAGTAAATCCCATTGGATGGAGTCAGGCCCGCAAATACATTGGATGCCCAAAATCATATCAAAATCGGACAACATGTTATGGATCCACTCTCTGAACAAGTATACCAACGAAGGCATGGACGGGAAGGTTCGGGGGTATTAGTTGGTCAAATCAGAAAATATCAGAATGCTTTAGGTGGCTGATCACGAGTGTAAGGAAAGCTGGCAGATTGGCAACTGGCAGCATTTAATTAATTAGATCATAGTTATTTCATATTCTTAGTTATTTCCTTATTCAATTGAGGAAACTTCGTATAATCCTTATGTTTCCTATTAGGACTCTTGTAATCTCTATATAAGGGACCTAATATTGTTTAATAAAGTACCTTCTGAAGAATTAAATTGATTTGTCTTGACTAGGTCAGGCAACAATTAATTCCTTAAGACTCTTCATAGTTATTCTCTGCCTCATCCGTTAATCTGAATATAACAACATTGATCCTAAGGTCTCAGTTGGCTCTTCTTCTCTTGTGAGATCCCGTTTGAGACCTTGGGCAAGGTCGTTTACGCGAGTCCTTAACAATTTGGAACGGGACCAGATTCTGCTGCAACGGAAAACATGAAGAGTGTCCGTGAAGGTTTTGACCAATGACAGATCCATGTGGAGGATCAATTGGCAGCCCTTCAAACCACGGTTTCTGGTTTAGTTAGCCTGCCCACAACCTTTTCTGTGCTAATAAAATATGCTAAAAAAGATTAACAAGGGAAGGAAAACTCCTCAAGTTTTGAACTCCACAAAATTCCATGACTCTCGTTTAATAGGAATGTTGAGCTTGATCTATATATATTATCATCCCAAGTTAATTATATGATTGTGAGTCGGTGTAAAGAGCTTGATTACTTTCTCGTTTGCTCTCTTGTCGTGCTGAGTAGTTATGCTGGGGGATTATTTTGATATAATTTTTAAAACCGCAAAAGCCATTATGAGCTAATTTACGAGAGGCTGTAGGTAGATGCTAAAAGCCTGCGCCACATGTGACTTGCTATGTGATATGTATGTCTGTTCAGGCAGATCTGATAATGGCATTAGCGGGTTCTAACGGAGGATCTTGGTCCACAACCTATGGTTTGAAATCTGTGCTTGCCCGGGGGATGAGTGACACGGCAGACATGGGAAGCGGCTCAATGTCCATGGCTGCTGCTGCTATACTCGGAGACTTGCAAGGGAGATCATCATCATCCCCATCATCCTTACCACTGGACTCCAGCCGCGCGTTTGATGAATCATCATTTATTCCCCCAGGTATCATTTATTATCTACTTGCATTATCTATCTCACCTTCAAATACTCAAAATCCATGCATCACACACACAAACTAGTTCCCAAGTCTTGCATGTGATTTTGATCCCCATTTTCTGTGTTTGGGTGCAAATTCAAATGATAAAAGGTTGCACACTGTGGGGTGTAAAGTCGAATGGATGGATGCACAACCCAACCCATTAAATAAGAGAAAATTTCTGAAGTGAAACGTAATATGATTTCTCAAATAGTCTCATTGTTCTCTTCCTCAAATAGGGACTCATTCACTCATAATTTATGAACTTTTATTGTTTTATTCTTTTAGTAGGGAAAATAAGTCATATTTAGGGAATAAAACGTACTTACTCCTATTCTTTTGTTGTCCATGTTTTAGTCCTATTTTGATCAACTTCTTTTAAAAGAACACAAAAACTTGTTTAAAATTGAATCATGCCATTACTCAGATGTCATTTGCAAAAACTAGATTGAATTTTTTCACTGATAAAGTGTCTATTTATGGGTAGATCTCAAAATTTGAAAGAGAGAGAGAGATGTGACTTAACCTACTCAGACATTTGAGTCACACACTCACACTCACACAAGTACACAACAACACTATAGTAATATGTTCCAAGAAACACTTTGTTGCGAGTGAGGTGGCAGTAGTAATCCGCCCACCAATGCTTTATCTTTCTGGTTACTGACTTCATCCATCCCAATCCAATCTCCCCCCTCCTCCGCCCCAGGAAATCATCTAGGTGGTGAGAAGCCCGAGTAAAGTGGAACTGGTATCAGGCAGCAACAACTCTTCATGGAGAAAATAATGTGGTTGACTGATTGGTGTATGTGAAATTATGAGCTTGATGGAAGATCATGTTCTTGGTTATTGGCATCCTAAACCGTGGGATCCAAGGGCATAGCTAGGGGGATCCTAGGCCTAGGCCCACCCCAAATTTCAATTTATTTAAATTATCAGGGTAAAAAAATCGTGTAAAAAACTATTCATAAAAATCTTTGTGCCAACCCAATCCAATACCAATGCCCTGGTTACGCGACTATTGGGACCTATTATTGTTTGCCATTTTTATTATTATTGTTGTTTCTTACGACCACATAACCGCAGTGCCGCAAAGGCTCCCACCTACGGTAGGGAAAGGAAGAGGGGTCGGATGTACGCACCCTTACCCCTTTACTAAAGCACGGAGTGACGATTTTTGGATGACCCACGATGAAAATCGCATTGAAAGTTGCATGGTCTAACTATTGCTTCATACTACGTAATAAAGAAGCGTAGACAATTTATTGTGCCATTTTGTTTTATCCATCATATTCGCAAGACAAAAATAGCGAGTCTTTGACTCTATTGGATTTGACTCTATTGGAAATGATGAAATATATTATTGATGTTTCTCTATTGGGAAAATACATGTTTATGACTAAAAGAGTGAGAAATTCCCAAGATATGACTCAATATATTATTAATGTTCTCTATGACTACAAATGAATGTTATGCGTCTGTGTCATAACTATAAGGGGAACAAAATTACCTTACTACCCTAAATCCTTCATGTGAGTAGACTAAGAACAAAAATGGAGTTTTTGTTAAATGGAAATGTAGATAGCTAAATTGTAGGGGCATGAGACAAATCAATTAATGATATAAACGAGGTTGAATACACAAATCATATTGACGGTAAATGTATTTGGACCGTAAGTTGAATCTTTGGAGACAATAATTTTTTGTCAGTAAAGTGAAAGCGTTTGTTGTTTGTGCAAAATAGGAATAAATTATTCCTATTTTTGACTGTAATTTGAAGTGTGTAGACTAGGGATGGACTCGGGCCGGGTGGCCTGACCCGGAACCGGCCCGGGACCGGTACTGTTCCGGCCCGACCCGACCCGGTGGCCCGGTCAGTGACCGGTCCGGGTAGGCCCGGCCCGTGGGTTTTCCGGTCCGGGCTCGGGTCACCCAAAACAAGGCCCGGCGCGCCCGGGCCCGGGCCCGGGCCCGGTTCGGGCCATTTTTTTTTTCTTCAATTTTTTTTAACTTTTCAGGTTGGGCTGGGTATTTTGGACCGTTTGGGGGGTTGGGGGTGGGAGGGGGGTTAATTAGGAAGAGGAAAACAAAAAAAAATATATATATAATGGGCCCGGCCCGGCCCGACCCGACCCGACCCGGATCCGGTGGTTACCCGGGCCGGTCCCGGGTCCACCATTTCTGACCCGCCGGCCCGCCCGGGCCTAGGCCCGACCCGGACCCGGCCCGGACCCGAGTCCAACCCTAGTGTAGACGATAAACTGAAGTGAATTGCACGATGTTTTTGGATGGTAGAAACTAGAAAGTATGTAGAACTTAAATATGGTTGTGCCATAAATTAAGTGCGTATTGACATGACAGTAAATGAAATTATGATCCACATGATTATTTTTCACTTTATTCAAAATGCGTGTTTTTCATATACTTCATCAGTTATTTAATTCTTGCAATATTGTGATTTTCACACCATTCACAGATTTTACTCTGACCACGATTTTCTACTAATATACGTAATCAAATTATTACGTATAAAATGTTATTCAATTCCTATCAATGTGAATTTCCAAAATATCAACTTTTTACAATGTTTACTAATACATAATTAAATATAATTGCAGTCAAAGTTGTGCGTTTGCAAACGTAAAAGTCAAACCGTTGCAAGAATTAAAGAACGGAGGATAGTATTATGGGGATTGAATCATTTTTTGGGAGAAGCAGTTACTATGTAAACTCCAAATAATAAGAAATGTTAGTAAATGTGGTGGTTTATTAATACTATGTCATTAAAATTTTCCTAAAAATTATGAATTTTAATAAATAAAATAAATGTTTGGTCAGTAAAGCAAAAGTTTTTGTTGTTTGTGGAGTATAGGAATAATATAATAAGGGCTGTAATTTGAAGCGTGTAGACGATATACTGAAGTGCATTGCTGCCATTGCATGATGTTGTTGGACGGTAGAATTGTAGAAAGTATGTAGAACTTAAATATGATTGTGCCATAAATTAAAAGTGTATTGACAGTAAATAAAATTATGGTCTACCTGATTATTTTTCACTTTATTCAAAATGCATATTTTTCATAAATTATGCGCGGTTGAAAATTTAGTGGAAAAGCTGTTATTATGTAAACTCCAAATTATATGGAATGTTATTAATGTGGTTGTTTATTAATACTACCTCATTAAAATTCCTAATTTTTAAGAAGTAGAAATTTTATTTTATGTGCAATGAGGAATTGCTTCCTTATTATTAGGAGGCAAGTTAATATGTTGTTAACATATATGCCGTGCGTTCTTTCTTATTAATATAAGCCACCTGCTTCCAAAAATAACATACATGTCGTGCGAAGTTGATCTTCCAAACTTTAAATTTAGGAAGAAATAAGTCAAATAACTACTTATTCAGTATTGGGGAGGACATGAGTAGGGGTGGACTGGGACGGGTCAGCCCGACCCACTATTGTGCAGGCTCGACCGGTTGATCGGGAATGGGACCAGACCCGAGACCCGACCCGAGTGAAGAAGTAGCGGACTACGAGACTTGATTTTAGTGGACCGGCCCGGGTGGTCCGGGCCCAGTCCAGGCGGACCAGGCCTAACGACCAGAAATTCATTTTTTTTTGTTTCAATTGTTGGGACTGGCTGATAGCCGTTGGGGGTGGGTCTGGGTGGGTTGGGGGGTGGGGGTAAAAAAACTACAAGTATACCTATTTTCTAAACATTTTTCTACACCTATTCTCCAATTCTTCCTACTCTCTAATCATCTTCATCTTCTCCAATTTTCTTTACACCTATTAATATTGTTAAGATATATTATCTCAGCCTACAACTATTTAGGAGCACATGACATTACCCCAGTTTGTAGCCCGATCGATGAGACCCACTTCAGCTTATCAAGCTTGCTTCGGTCCGTTGGACCCATTTTGTCCCAATTGGCCCGTTAGGGTGATTTTGCACCCCGTCCCCATTTTCCTAGAAATAGGGAGCTTTACCTCCATCTGAAGGATCCCTTTTTGGCTTCTCCTCATATCTTCTTCCTCTTTAGCACAGAACAACTTAATACTCCATTAATGGGAGCTCTTGTACTTTGTAATGGCGAAGAGAGTATTAATGAGAATGAGAGGGCTTGGACATTAGTCTAAGAACTCCCGTGGTTTTCTCCTTTTCGGATTTACACATAAAAACATAGTGTTCATACAACATCATTTTTTTACTCCAGAGGGCATCTGGGGGAGCCTGGAGTAATCTTGTAACACCCCCAAAATTTCCCACCCAACAATACTTTAAATAAAAATTTGTCTGTAAGAAATATACAACTTTATTTAAAATCATTAGAATTGTGCAGCGAAAAAAACAAAAGGAAATAGGGCGTTACCGCCACACTCAGTTCTAACCTAACCGACTGCACAGGCTAACCACCTCTCAAATAATTTAACTCAAAAAAATATTATTTTTTTTACTCCAGGGGGTTCTGAGGGAGGGGGGCTGGGGGGAGGGGGGCTGGAGTAATTATGGCCGAAACTCACTCTATTGAGTTTCAAAACCTTGTGTGCCTAGCGGGTTTCGAACTCGAGACCTCCCACTAGGCACGTTAACCTCACAACCAGTTGGACTGGAATGCTTGGTTAAAATATCAATTAAACTAAATTTTTTGAAATTAAAATATACAATGATTTACTAATTATGTTTTCTAGCGGAAGCTCTCTCGAAATCAACTTTAACATGATCAATTCGACACCTGTACAAAATCAAGTACAGAAAGAAAAACATAAAGAAACAAAATTAGCCAGAAATGCTAGTAAGTTCCACCCAACATCGTAAAATAATATAATTTGATTTTTTGAAAAACATTTTTGTCTTCAAAAGACATGTCAAAAACCTTTTCAAAATACTTGAAAATATGTTTTATAAAACATCATTTCTTGTTTGAAATAATTTTTATTATTCAAATAACACATATAACTTAAAATAAACTTGTATAATTCAAAATCACATTTATAATTAAAATAATAATTCAACACTATAAATACCTCATTTCTCAAAATTGGAGCTAATACATCATTTCTCAAAATACATTTATGAACAAGGAGTAATTCACATAGTAGAGTGAAGTGCTAAAATAATTAGTATTCAAAATAACTTAAAATTTCATTCATCCAAATAGTATTTCTCCAAACAAGTACTTCAACAACTCTTACGAGTAAAGTACTAAAATACTTCTCTAACTCTTTATACTAAAACCCCTAAGTAATTTAGAAGGGCGGTGCTCGATGTTTTTAATTGAGCCCGGTGGTCTGTTGTTGTTTACGGCCACCCCGGGACTTTTGCCGGTACCATAACTGCTCAAAGGAAACTGAACATCTACCTTAAGTGTAGGGGTGGACTCGGGTCCGGGCCGGGTCCGGGTCGGGCCTAGGCCCGGGCGGGCCGGCGGTTCAGGAGTGGTGGACCCAGGACCGGCCCGGGTAACCACCGGGTCCGGGCCGGGCCGGGCCCATTATCAATTTTTTCCCCTCTTCCTAATTAACCCCCTCCCACCCCCAACCCCCCAAACCACCCCAAATGGCCCAAAATACCCAGCCCAACCCGAAAATTTAAAAAAAAATTGAAAAAAATAGTTTTGGCCCGAATCGGGTCCGAGCTCGGCCGGGTCGGGCCTTGTTTTGGGTGACCCGAGCCCGGATCGGAAAACCCACGGGTCGGTCCTACCCGGACCGGTCACTGACCGGGCCACCGGGTCGGGCCGGGCCGGAACAGTACCAGTCCCGGGCCGGTTCCGGGTCGGGCCACCCGGCCCGAGTCCATATCTACTTAAGTGTGCACACCCCCTGAAAGGGATTCCAAGTCCTACATGTATTAAGAAGCCCAAGTAGTTCGGACATCAACGTCCACCTACTCCAACAAAAGGGTTTATCCTATAGAAGTAACTAGGTTACTGCTATTACTGAATAACATGGTCTTTTGCCTGAATTTAAGATATTATAAACCAAGCACTTTAACAACTCTCCATAGTCAAGGTCGTGGAAGACATCGATATTCCAACTCTTACGAGTAATATAACAACTCTTTACGAGTAACATAACAATTCATTACGAGTAAACAAGTAATAGCAGCCCTAATCACTCTCCACAGTCAAAGTCGTGGAGAACACTGACATCGCGGATTTCTCTCGCGATGCCCTTACGACGTTGGCCAGCCACGTCGGGTACTTCACCTCTTTAATGTGTTTGATTTAGAGGAGCATGGCGACCTCCCCTTTGACGAAGTCCCGCCTGTCGGCGGATAAGTAGCGCCGCTTCTGCTTGACAGGCGCGGAGGCCGGATCGACGGTCAGCCGATGAGTGATCACCTGGCGGCTGATGCCTGGCATATCGTCTGGGCCCCACGCGAAGACAATG